AGCTTCAATTTACATTAAATATAAGAAAGAAGGTTCTTACAATAATGATAAAACACCCAAACAGGTCTCCCAGTGGAAAAATCATAAATGTCCCATCCCTGGAAACCTTGAAGATTGGTATGGTAGTTTAAGCAATTTTATCTAGTTGAAGACATCCTGCTCATGGCGAAGATGGTGGTCTAGATGACCTTTAAATGTCTCTCCCAACCCAAACCACTTACTGATTCTTTAGAGTAAAACCTATTCTATGATTCTATGAATAAACACCTCATGAGTTGCAATATGCCATCAAGTGTTCCAAAATCAGGAGAAAATTCCAGCTGACTGTGCAAATTGATTAAACTCCACAGAGACAAGACTGTATTTGACTTCCAACACATTTGAGGAGAGAAAGACTTACACCTGATGTATCCCAAGGCAACTGTATTTTTTCATCTGAGAATAAATTACCTAAGTCTCAATTATTACACTGGAACTGCTAAAAAAAAATAAAAAATGCTCATGTGAGGCAGGGAAAAACCCTAAACAATTTAGCTGTACATACTCTCAGCTGAGTATGTACAAATTTATTTTTCAGAATTTTTTAAATGCTTCTGAGAGGCTCCACCAAAGAATGCTAAAATCCAGAATCCAACAGGACAATTCTGTCAGATTCTAAGCCTCCAGTTTTGTGTAATATGTGGGTAGACAGACCAAGGTGGGAACTTTGTCTTAAGGTCAAAATGAATCCCTTAAAACATGTAATTTCTTGAGAAGCTTTTTTTTTTTTCAGATTATCCTGTTAAAAATATCATTCACATAAATATAAAAGAGAATGGCTTAGGGTTTTGCAAACCCTCAAAAAAATTACGGCTTTGAAAAGCACGTAACTGACGGACACTGTATTTAAAAATAAATAGTAAATCCAGAACAACTGTTTTTTCAAAAATTTTCAGTTTCGTTGCCATATAATTATATATTTCTGACCTGCATCTTTTGCTGTTAAATGATGCTGCATAAATTAGTATTTTTTTTCCCAGAGAAGTTGAAAAAACCCTAACAAAATCCTTCACTGATCTTGTTCTTTTCTATTTTCATTTTGGAAACATGCCATGACTTGCTACTGTCAGTTTACTATGGCAATATATAATCTTCTGACAAATCTATCATGTTTTGAAATTAGTCTCAAAAACTCTTGATGCACATCATAAAGGCTCTTGGGAGGTTACTCTAGACACACCTTTTGACAACTTTTGACAAAAGTTTTCCACTGTTAATTCTTAGTGATGTTTACAAGTTCCTGTGCTTGTCATAACTTGGGGCTTTGGATGCTTGTTCTGTTAATTGTTAAATTGGAAAGAGCATAAGAGACATTTTTCTCTCTTGGGCATTTTCAACCTCTCACAAATATTAATCTCCATAGACCATTTTACATAACCATTTGGCCTAATGAAAGCCAAATTCAGAACTTTTTCTTTATTACCCAGATAAATGAACAGTAAAAACCAAACCAACCATGTAACAAAAGCAGAAAAAAATTTAAAAAAAACCAAAACCAAATACAAACCACAACCCCCCACCCTGCATTATGATTCATGGGTTCTGCATTCATATTAGTACTCTAGAAAGTAATTTTTCCTGAGAAATAGGACCTTATAAGCTTTGCAAAAGTACTGAAATTCAACTACGTATTTGAAGGTGACAAATCTCAGTTTGCTGGTGTCATGGTTTGACACTGGCACAATGCCAGCGCCTCCATGAAAATGTAACCTATCAATTAAATGCTGTGAAATTCAATATAGAACAGAGCAAAGCAGGCCAAACTTAATAACAAGGGGAAAACTTTATTACACTACTACTACTACTACTACTACTACTACTACTGTAAAAGGGGAAAAAAACCACACAAAATTCAAAATTAAAACCATTCCTCCTCCCCCCACCCAACTCCAACAAATCACAGCGAGACATATTTGGACCCTTAATCCAGTCTTCACCCTTCCACATAATGAATCCTGAGTCCATCAGGGGAGAGAGGAGTCTCCCTTGCACCAACACAGCTGCCACCTCTTGTGTTTCCATGTCACAC